GTTTGTAATCAGTCCTCCCTGTGACCTAACAGTTTCAAGACTTTTCCACTACAGGAAGTGACCGACCTATAACTGTATTTGTGTTCTGGGTTCTGCGTTTCTTTTTCCAAAGGTTGCAAAGACCTTTGGAGAAAATGGTAAATGTCAGCACCCCTCAGGAGGTGGGTACTAATTCAAGTGGGTTCTCACAGGAATGTTACCTATGTTTGGTCAAGCTGCCCGAGACATGTCGTCACATCTGGTTAGCCTCTGTTGCACCAGCTTCAGTGGCTTTATGCAATCTGTCATTTAGCATTGTAAGAAAACTAAAGGCGTTCCCGTGGATTGTTTCCCTGTTCCAAGACAAGCCACCAACCACTACAACACTTACTACTGAAAGTTGAAACCTTTGCGGTTTTAACAAGGTTAATACATTTCTAGCATTGGAAAAACTACAGTTCCCGTGATCGCTTTGCAGCATGGCAGTACGCGTATTAAAGCTCACTGTCATTTACCGGCCTCTTCTGGACTTTGTTGGTCCAAGTAGCACAGCGTTAACGGTGTGTTTCTGATCTTACTCTCACCTCTTTCAACTTTTTGTTGTAAAAAAGGTCCCTGGCACCACACACTGTGTCTCTGGGATGTATATTAGCTTTCTCTACTGTGACCGCTGACACAGCCTTCATTCACTGCTTACAGGTGTAATGAGTGAGCTCACTGCCGGTGATTGAAGCATATGTAGATTTAAAGAATGTCGATACATTATCTTGTTTTAATCATGTAGTCACAATAATACTGCAAAGGCCTTTCACGTGACTTTGGGGTTTTAAGGCAGCAGCAATGTTTCCTGTATTTTTGGAGGAAGTAATTCCACTTCCTGCCATTTGACATGTTAAATATTTTGAACTACATGAGCGGGGATACGGCCTTAGTGTCATCAACAGTGGTTGCACACGCTGAACAGCTTCACAAAACACATTGCTCATCATACTGGAGAATTTCCATAGTTTTCTACTCCATTTAAATGCAGCCTTGATTTGGTTTGACTGTCTGTAATGTAAACAGCTAAATTAGATTATGATAATTTTTAATGGCTGGGAAACACAGCTAATGTTTATTGCACATTTAAAATGAGTTCCAGAGTGGCAGCTTTGACAGAGCACATTATCATGTGTGAACGTGTGTGTATTGCTCTTCACTGTCCTTCAACAGCTCGACAATCTCATTTACATATTCATAAATCATGAATGTCTGACAACTCTCTCTCTCACACACGCACACACACACACACACCTCTGGGCACTGTAATAATGAGGTGTTTGAATACCTCTTTCAGCTCAAACAAGCACATTCCCATGGATGGATGGGTCAATAAAACACTGGGCTGTGATGCCTCTGTTTGCTTCCTGTTTCCAGCTGACATTCACCGTTGGTTTCTTTTAACTATGATCTGACTGTTCCCTAACTTTTACTATTTATTATTGTGACCATGATAGTGAAGGTCCCCTTACATTAATGTTCATTTCTACTATGATATTTCCATAAACCTAACCAAACCTTAACATCACATCATTAAACTGATGTGATGGTGGGAGGCACAGATATGACGTCCTACAGATACAGGTTTCAGATCAGAAACCACTTCTATATGTTGTTCCAGAGGGTTGGAACAAACGCTGTATTTTGTCATTCTGTTTGGATGATTTGATGCAATCACAATATGAATAATAAGAAATAACTGTTAAACTTAGGCATATGATTATTTACCGTCTTACACCTCCCTATAATGAACCATTTCAGGGATTCCAGATGAACAACTGTAAGAAAATCTTTGATTGAACAGAGGTGTGGGTTCAAGTCCCACTACTGACGAAGGTTTAATTCCCACTTGTTTCATAATACTGCAAAATAACAACATTTTCATCTGTTTCCATGAACTTCAAAATCAAAATGTCAGTGATTGTTGGCGCTGTGCTGGTGTTTTAAAGCTCAACACCACAATTTACCTCTTAAATTACCAGATTTCTTTTTAAAATTGCAGTGAAACACAAGTTAGAGCATCTCCCCGGTAATGTGACGTATTTCTGAGTTAAACCAAATAGATAGTGATATTGTTATGAGAGGGTTTTTATTCATGTCTTCCTAATATTAGGACTGGGGAGGAGAAAAACATAGACACCTCTGAATAGAATGCAGAGCAATACAACCATTAATACCTCAATAATAAACATATGATGGAATTTATACATTTCCAACAATTTCACCAAAAACTGAAACATTACAAGCACATAAAGGCAGATGTTATAGCATTAGACTGTGCAGGTGTATAAATGGCTAGAAACAGGGGTCCACACTTGGTCTGCAGCGTCCAACAGTCCACTACAGGTGAGGTGGGAACGTGTGTGTTTCTGTGCACTGTCAGGCTGCAGGGAGGCTCTGAAACACGTGAAAGAGGGTGTGTTGACATTTGCAAGTGCTTTGTTTGAGGAGACGGTGTAAACACACACTCATGCACTTGCACTTATATCTTTGTGAGGACACTTGTTGACATAATGCATTCCCTAGGCCCTCACACTTAACCATCAGAACTAAATGTCCTTAACTCTAACCCTAAACCAAATTCTAACTGGAACCTTAAAGCCGAGTCTTAACCCTCAAAAAAGTGTTTGAGACAGTGAGGACTGGCCAAATTGTCCTCACTCTGTAGTGAAGAAAAAATCTTTGTGGTCCTCACTATATAGCAAGTACAAGAACACACACACACACACACACACACACACACACTCATCTGCTCACTCCAAAATGGTGTTAACAGCCCACTTAGTCAACCAGTGAACCCTGCAAACAGAAACACTGTTAGCTGTCCATGTATTCATAAGAACAGCAAGTCAAACACACACACACACACACACACACACACACACACAAAACAGATGATTAACCAGTCAAATGAGCTGATAGACAGTTTGCCAGCCAAACAGTCAGGATATGTTCACATTAAGTCATTTTTAAGCAACATGCTAAATATTTTCTGGGCCCGCTTTGTAAATATGATTTTAACAACAGTAAACTGGTCACTTTCACAATTTTATGACATTTTAGTTACAAAAAAAAATCCATCACTTCTTAAAGAAAACAACTGCCAGACGTATCGATAATGAAACTGATCACTGGCTGCAGCCCTGCAGTGCTCCGGTGATGGAATAAAATTCTGTGTTAACATCATTCCCTGTTCATGAACCTTGACCTTGACCTTTCTGTACCCAGATCCTCCAAAACACACACACAGTATACATTCACACTTACGCCACTCTGTACATCATTAATGCCATACAAGGTGACCTGCGAGTTGTTCTAATGCACTGATGCCTACTGTAACATTTAGGACACTTATGAAACAAAAGGTTAGGGCCCCAAATGGCCCAGTGTCGAGGATTACTTCTCGGACAAATTCCCCAAACAACAAAGCCTCCACTCTGCCAAATCAAGTCCTTGAATTAGCAGTGGGGGCGATTTAACTGGATCTGACAGTGTGACCAGGACAGTACAGATATAAAATTAAAAACAATTCCAGTCTAAAGAGATTAGCATGAATAAAAATTTAACTCTGCAAAAAGCCATTTAAAAGTCGGTTTCAATCTAAAGGGTGGATCAGACAACATCTGTGGGAAACACATCTGTTTCTTTAAGGAGCACTGTTTACTCCATGCATTTCTCAGTGAAGTATTGGTTTGTTTCTTGGTTAGAGGAAGTGGTTTTGTGGTGAGAACTCGCTTCATTAAATCATGTAGTAAGGAGGTTTGTGGCTTCCCTTTAATCTGCTTGTGTCAAGTCATAATGAATGGAGAGTATCACATCCTCTTACTGTTTTCAAAATAAAACACTTTTTGTCAAATAACATTCTTGGTTCTGAACTTCTTTTCTTTATGTAATAAAAATGTCTTTTAAAGAAAATCCTGGAAAAACTGCCATTTTTAGAACAATTGATACAGAACATGACACTAATCACAACACTTCTTTAGAGCACAAGGTTTTCCGTTACATTTCCCCAGACACCTTTCCTTTTCCTGTTACCTAAGAAATAGAACTACAAAGCTTCAGGATGACAGAAATGGTCATTTTTAGTTTTTTTTAGTTATTTTGCTTCTCTTTTTATTTGCTCTCTTTGTGGTTAGGTAGGTCTGTTGTACTTGTTTTGGCCTGTGAGGTTGTTTTGCTTGCGTTTATGCTCATTTTGCATCCCTGTGGCTGTTTTGGGTTTATTACCTCGGCCAAGGAGGTTGTTTTTGGTTCTGTGTGTTGGTTAGCAGGCTTACAGACAAACAGCTGCATGGATCATCAGCATACTGGTACAGACATTGGTGGGGACCCTGGAAGTGAGTAGATTTTGACTGAAAAAGGTCAAAGGCCACAAAATAAAATCACAATCCCTATCTTTAACATGGGGCAAAATTTGAAGAAAATCACATCTCTGCTAAAAGTTTTTGAAATCATTTAAAATTTAACAGACTGTCACCAGACTAAATTAGTCTCCAGATCTAAACCAGATTCCAGATCTGACGGCCATTTAAAGTGACCATTGAAATCCCCATTTAATGCATATTTTCTGTCATAACTTGGCCTATAATGAAGATACAACCCTGAAATGTTCAGGTAAGATGCACAGTATAACTGCCTATCATACCTTAGAAGATGATCTAGATCTGATGTTGATCAAGGATTTTAGGACACATTTTGTGTTCCTCTGGGTGGAGGTACATGTGCTCTGTGAATGCTCCTGTTTATTTATTTTTTGACATTTAAAGATAGTTAACAAAGTTATCACTCCATTTTCCATCTATTATATAGTGCCTGTGCCACTATATTTTTTTCAAACCAAATATGTGTGGCTCTCCTTGATTTGTGTTGAACCCTTACTAGTCATGGTGAGTCAGCTTTTATTTTGATGGGAAGATGAATAACCTTCTGCTGTTGTTCTAGGTAACTCTCACTAACTTGACGGAGCTGTGGGAGCCTACGGGTATTGGGGGTTTAGTATTGTGAGGAGGAGGAGGAGGAAGAAAAACCCTCACGTTGATACTCCCCGGATTTGTTGCGTATCGCGCCGTTTCCCGCGGAGCCTCTGGCGGAAGACCCGGCTGGATGCCTGCGCTTCGCCTTCACATTGGCTCCTGAAAACGCACTCCCGTCATTAAAAACTGGATGCGTGTGCGTCTTGGCTTAGTCATGAAATACACCTGAGCTGGGCATGTAGTTCTCCGGGTTCCTGGGCGTGGGAAGGACGAAGAAAGCCGTTTGTTTACTCACTTGTCGAAGGAATATTGTTGAAGTAAAGTTCGGCAGCGGCTGCGCAGCTGATCCAGACGCTCAGTTTGCTCCACTTTGTGTTGTCCAGGGTCGTTTCCTCACATCGGGATGTAACATTTAGAGAGTTTTTGGAGGAGTTGGTGACGCATCGAAACCAGATTTACCTTGGGGCTGTTGGTACTTTTGGGAATATAGAAAGAAAAGCCTGGACAGGGATATCGGCGACAAACCCAGAGGTAAGCCTGTTCTGCTGTTTTACACCAGGTTTCACTAAAACCTCACGTCCTCTTCTACAAGTTTACCAGAGCTCTTCACAAAAGGAAAAGCTTTAGGGGGTTTTAAAGATTTTAAAAGCATTCGTGATGTCTTTTCAACGCGTTCCCTGCCCCTTGGTTGGAGAACGTCACACCGGACTTCGATTACAAAACTTCCACCTAAACCATTAATGGATTAAAAAGTAACTAGTGCGTTCAACATGCGGCATAAGTTATTATGATTTACATTTAGCGTGGCGATATCGGATGTTCGACAAACAAGCTACCTACAAAGGAAAGACCTATTTTAGAGAAAAGGTTTGGAGGTGATTTTATGAAACCAACGAGCTGCAGCCAAACGGATGTTATTAAAGTTAGAATGACATAACTCTTAAAAAAGTGCCGGTGGTCATTTTGTATGTAAACTGAAATGACGGCTGGACTTTAACGATTCGTAACAGGAAATGAAACATGTTTTTGAAGATGTTGGTGTTTGCAGCAATGTCGTGTAATATTTAATTTGTAGATGAATATATGGAGCCTGGCGTGACGGCCTGTGCGTGTGGGAGACACCGGAATGTGTTGGGACTTATAAATTCACAGAACATCTGGAGCCACAGATCAGTCACAGGGCTGATCCAGTTGAGCCAAATACGCGGCTTTAATCGTGTATTCCAGACTGGAGTAACTTCACTGGCGTTGTTTCAGAACCATTATCTTTCTCTTCGTTTTCCTGGACACAGAAATCAGGGAGTGAACACCACGTTTAGCTTGTTGTGGTGGACTCGGCTGTTTTGTGGATGACACTATTGATCAGAAGTGATCAAACATTACATCAGCAGCCAGATAGTCACTGTGCTTAGTCAAGTGTGTGGCTCCAAAGGTCATTAATCTTCCCAGTCATGCCAGTCACCACAGTGCCATGTGTGAAACCCAGAGTCTTTGAGAACACTCTGCTGTTGGCCATCTGCTTCAAAGCATTGCTGTACATGATGGGAAGGTAATTGCCCATGGTGTCAGTTAATGGATTAGAATAGCCCCCACACTGCACCTTGAGCTCTGAAGCCATAAACCCATTATAGCAGCAGCAGCACTGCTCTGTTTAGACCCTGGTTGCTGGATGTTATGGCGAATATGGTTCCGATCAGTAAAGCATGATGTTTCAAGGCTTCTTGAGCAGTTTATTGTCCTGTTAAATGCACTGCTGTTACTGCTGGGGAGTTTGGATGCACTTTTTGGAGTAAATGCAGGAAGCATTTGATCTTTTTGCTTTGCATTCAGACTGAATCACTTGGAAGAAATACATCAAGGGCCCTGGAAAAAAATAGCCAAAACTACTTCTAAAACTAAACGTGCAGCTAATTGCATGTTCTGGCTTCTGGACTCAGTATGAGTGATGAACATTTTTCCTCATATTGATGTTGCTTGTTGTTCCATTGTTTTCAGGGAAGTCCTTTTTTGAATGTTTTGCTAAATGCCAGACTATTTCAGCAGAGGCGTCACCATGTCAAGTAAGTGTGCGACTGAGCTTTATATTGAATATTCTCTCAGGGACAAGCAGTGCTGTACATTTTCTTGGAAATGGAGCATTGAGGTCTTGGGAATTTATACAAAGGAATTGAACTGGTTGCTTATTTGGGCAGATCTAGCAAGACAGCTGACTTGTGCTGTTATATTGTACAAAGAAGGAAAGCAAACCAAAGTGTCGTGACCTCTTTTTATTAATATGACTTAAACGATCTTGGAAGGTTGAGCAGCTCAACTAGATGTTTTATAGCAGAACTCTGGGCGTTGTAATATTAGCTTTCTTTTCTGTGTTTGGTTTGACTGGACTTTGATCTGAAGACTGAGCCCAACTCAAACTGAAATATACTGTGACAAAAATCTATTGGTTGTTGGAGCTAATTTAAGGCCAGGACCAGCATTTAATAGAAAAGTTCAACATTTTTTGGGAAATTAAGAAAATGTATGAGCTTTCTCTCCAAGAGTGAGAGTTTGATACCACTTGTGTACAGGAAATATGAAGCTATATAGCCAGAAAGGTTGAGTCAGGCTGCCTGAGTGACAAAGGTAACGAATCCCACCTATCTGGACCTCCTAAAGCACACTAATTAATATGCCATAATTTGTTTAATCCTTACACAAACTAGTGAAAACTGACACTTTATTTGGTTATGTTGGCATGGGCAGAGCCAGGGGGTGGCCAGGAGTGGCACCAGCCACCCCTAGAATCTGATTGGCCGACCCTGGTGCCACCCCTGTCAGTCAAAATGTGATGCTCGTCAGTATTAATGAATGACAAATTAAAAACAATAACATATTGTTGCCTCAGATTAGTTTTATTTTATATCCTGCATGGAGTGTGATATTTCCATTCATTTATCTGATTGTGTTGTTGTGGAGATTTCGTCAGTGGGGGGTGGGGGGCAGCAGCGACGTCTCCATCCAGCAGTAAATAAGGAGCACAGCCAAAGTTAGCTAAAGAAAGCACTGTGTAAACAGTTTGACTCTTTATGGTTTATTATTTCACAGAACTAGGTGTTTAATTTATTTTTTACATGTATTAAATGTGCCCCTCTCCCCCCAAGTTTGTGCCCCAGCCTGTCAGAATTTACATATAATATAATAGATCCACCCCGTACACTGGGGCAGAGCCAGGCTAGCTCTCCTTGTTACCAGTCTTTATGCCAGGCTAAGGTGGTGGTGGCAGCGCTATCAGTGTTCACCTCTTGGCAAGAAAGTGAAAGTGTATTCCTCTGGTTCAGTGACATTTAACAGTGAAGCCAAGTCATTTCAGTTAACAGCAGTAGTCCGTGGCGTCGCTTGCTGGGGCGGGGTACAGTAAATCCACAAGAACCATTTGTGCTCAACTTTGGAGAACCTAACTTTTAAATTCGCCCTGCTGACTATTAGCGAGACCAAAATGAGGGTCCAAAATGGAGGAGGCTCTTTTAAATTATGTTGCACCATCCTTTATGTAATCTTATGAACTGCTCCACACAAAGAACATGCTTTACAGGCAGCAGCTGATGGCACAAGTATGTCTTCTGAATACACTGTACTTGTTATGTCATTAGTAACCGAGCCAGTAAGCTCGGTATCTGCCAGTTAGCGAGGTAGTTGGGAGAGATCCCCCCCCTTCAATGACGCTTTCTTCAATGAAGTTATGTGCTATGCAGTTATGAACAATCCACAACCAAAACCATATGGCATCCTCCCAACTCTTTAGGTTGTGTTATGACATGAAGAAGCAAAAATGTAAATAAATCAACACTCCTGTCACTTGTATTGGAGCTTGCACAACTGAAAACCATCATGTTTCACAGTCACTCAGCCAGAGAAACCGCAGCACAGCTCCACCCATCAGTATTTAACCACAAAAATAAGAGTTTTTTTCAGCCTCATAGGAATGTGTGTGTTGCTAAACATCTGATCAGAGGAGGAGAAAAATGTTGTCAGTGTATCGGCTAACTCTATATTAACGCAGACAATCAGAAACCTGTTTCAGTGGAATGCAGGCGGACGGTTGAGGAACTCGGCTGCTGTCGCTGTGATAGGGCTGTTTGTCCTTTCTCAGAAAGTTACATTGCTGATTTCACCCTGATGTCGGCAGGAAACCGAATGAAATACAAGAAAACTTTATAAGAGTCCAGTCATCTTTTAAATTAATAAACATTAAAATCAGTGGAGCCAGAAGCTGGAGGCACACATGAAACACCCACAGTGTAAAACGTGATGTTGACCTATTGCTAGTAGCTGGTGTTAAATTCAGTTTGTTTGGCTGATAATTCAATATTTTGTTTGTCAAAATGTAAAGCAAAATCACACCAGAGCCCTCACAGATAATCTCTTACTGTCTTTAATGCATCATGTGCTTAATTCTAAATAGCAGCCTGTGTCCAGAGTCTGTTAGCCTGTTGTGTCTCTTTTAAATCTGTGTGGTTTTAGCCCAAATCTACTGAAGCTCCAATGTGGAAACGCCAAAATAAGTATCTGGACTCTCAACCTCAAAGCCTGAAATTAAATTATGCCTCAGTTCTTGGCAGAGAGAAGAAGTGAAGACTGAGAGGGGAGAGTTTTATCTGCCTTCTCCATGTTGTAGTGATTTAACACAGGAAGAGACCCCTAGTTCTCTGAGGTCAGAGGTCAGAGAGGCAGTGGTCAATGGCAGAGAGAGAACGAAGGCAGAGTCACGTTCTCACGCATTGAGCGTGTTTATGTAATTTCATGTAACCCAAGTGTTTTTCTCATTGTCTTTAGCAGAAGGGATTTTCTGCTTTTACTGATTTACACGTTTGGTGTAGCAGCTTATGCTTTTAAAATGATAAAGTTGGAGAAATTTGTTTGTTTTTTTGTGGGCAGATTCTTCTGTGCTGTTTCTACTGAGACCGTCACTTTTTCCAAAGATCACATTCGAACGAGGTTCAAGTTGAATTACTATGCGCTGCATCAGGAGAGCTTAGCTAAGATAAGACATGCTGCAGGGTGACCGTGTGCTGAAAGCTTACGTGAATGTGTAGCCAGCGTTTCGACCCGCCGGTCCAGGGGCAGGCCAGTCAGGCCAGTTAAAAATTAATTAGCAATGATCAAAATCATTACTTGCTTTCTGCCATCAAATAAATAGTTCTTCCCCTCTGTCGCCATTTAAACCCAGAGAAGCAATTGAAAGCTACAGACTGTCATTTTAATGCGTCTGTCTGTGGTGTGTGCGTTGTGCATGTGTTGTGTGTGTCCAGCTGTTAAGGTGTTGTTCTCATTAAGCTGCTGTTCTGGTCAGGGATGCTCAGAGTGAAGAGCTGTGATTTAAGAAGCCAGTTTGTTGGATTACTGACCTGTGCTCCTTTCTGCTTTATGAATGTGGAGCTACACTGCTGGCTACAGACCGCAGCTACGAGGCATTTAAAGTTTAGTATGTGGCACAAGTGTGTCCCGAGCTTTTTGGAAACTACGTATAGAGTAAACTGCTTTGTTGTACTGTGCAA